AAGAAAGGAACCTAGATGAAACATCAGTCAGGGCATAAAATAAATACTCTTTGTACAAGAATTACCTTAGACGTTTTTGAACACATAAAGCAATAATAAGAAAATAAAAGTATGATTAAAAAATCTCAGTTTAGTCTGCCTTTAGTATAAATAAAGGTAAAGGTACCAACATAAGCAAATCTTTTTTTCCCCCTGCTTTCCTGCTTTCTGCTTATAAGATTTAGACATATTTAAAACAAACCAATGAAAAGCAGAAATAGTGTCCTGGCATTGGCTAAATAGTTGGGCAATTACCTCCAGACTCCAGAACCCAACTCAGCTTGACTTTTGGGAATAAATTTGTCTTAAGTCTTCCTTTTCAGGGGCTGGGAATGTGATAGAGTGCTTGCCTAACATGCATGAAGCCCTGTGTTTGATTCCTCAGTACCACATACGTGCCCAGGACTGCCCCCCTCAAAAAAAGTGTCTTCTTCAAAATTGTATGCCTGTATATAAGAAATGATACTAACTTCTGCCCCAAACCCTGTGAATACTAGTTTTTGATGTACTTTTAATGGTCATGAAATACTTAAAATACCACATGTATGTATTAAGGTGAAAATTGGGGCTGGGCATGTGGCTCAATGGCAGAGCGATCACCTAGCATGCATGAGGCCCTGGGTTCGATTCCTCAGTACCAGAGACACAGAAAAAGCCAGAAGTGGCTCTGTGGCTCAAGTGGTAGAGTGCTAGCCTTGAGCAAAAGAAGCTCAGGGACAGGCCCTGAGTTCAAACTCCAGGACTGTAAGAAAAAAAAAAATTGGCCAGGCGCTGGTGGCTCATGCCTGTAATCCTAGCTACTCAGGAGGTTGAGATCTGAGGACTGAGGTTCAAAGCCAGCCTGGGCAGGAAAGTCTGTGAGACTCTTATCTCCAATAAACCACTAGAAAACCGGAAGTGGCACTGTGGCTCTAGTGGTAGAGTGCTCGCCTTGAGCTGAAGAGCCCAGGCCCAGAGTTCAAGCCCCACGACTGACCCTCCCCCCCCCAAAAAAAGTGAAAATTGGAGGCAAAACACTAAATTCTGATCATGTAATTTCAGTGTAGCAGATCCTTAAAATACTTTTGCATATCATAATAGTTAAAAGATTTAGAACAGAGTTTAGATACCTAGAAAATGAAAGCCCAAAGTTGAGTAACAAGAATGAACTTAAAAAAAAAAAATCCACTAGTGGGGCTGGGAAGGTCGCTCAGTGGTAGAGCGCTTGCCTTGCATGCCTGAGGCCCTGGGTTCGATTCCTCAGCACCACATAAGCAAAAAGAAAAAAGCTGGAAATGGCGCTGTGGCTCAAGAGGTAGAGCGCTAGCCTTGAGCTGAAGAGCTGAGGGACAGTGCCCAGGCCCAGAGTTCAGGCCCCACGACCGGACCCAAAAAAAAAAAAATCCACTGGAATTAGTCTAGGTTTCTATGGTGAAATATTTTGAAGTACTTAACAGTAACTGTTTTGTGTAGCACTAGAGATCAAAAACAGCAATATAAATAGGCAAGACTCTTAAAGAATCATACTCAGCAGACATGTCTCATGTAAATCGTTACTAGAATGGAAGCACGTTCTCGTCAATGCTATGCATAGAAATTTTAATTGACTTATTTTGGCAGTGAGAATCATACAACAGCACTAATAAATCAAACTTAAAATATTTGTTCATTGCTTGGGATTATGACTATGTTCAAGAAATACTATTTTTAAGCACTAATTAATCATTTTAGATAAACTTTTAAAAATACATTTATAGGCTCAGTGAGTATGACTGTTTATTACATTTTACCTATAAAAACTGAACTGTTTTATATACTCTTTATAGAAACAGTGCACAGTCATAAATTAAAAGATGCAACTGTTTGGGATATTTTACTGGTGGTCCTATGTTTTTCTGCCAGCAGTGCAGCTGTTTCAGGTTTCTCAGGATAACATATAAAACATTGTATGCACACTGCAAGTTTATGCTGGAATTGCCAAGCCAGAGCTGGTATGATTCAACTTTCCCAGACGTGAACTGTACCAAAATGTGATGAATCAAAAGTTAGTTACACACTGGTTTATGTTGTAATAGTTGTCTTCTATAACTGTGATGAGTGAACAGTTACTAGTGATAAGACTGCTTTCCTTTGGATGATCTAAAAAAAAGAGAGGGTGATACACCATTATAGAGGATGTGAATAAAAAAATAGATCAGGAATAGAACCTTTGATTTCCAAAGCACCTTTAAAAATATACTCATTTGAGCCGGCGCTGGTGGCTCACGCCTGTAATCCTAGCTACTCAGGAGGCTGAGATCTGAGGATCGCGGTTCAAAGCCAGCCCGGGCAGGAGAGACCGTGAGACTCCTATCTTCAATAAACCACCAGAAAACCGGAAGTGGCGCTGTAGCTCAAGTGGTAGAGCGCTCGCCTTGAGCTGAAGAGCTGAGGGAGAGCACCCAGGCCCAGAGTTCAAGCCCCACGACCAACAACAACAACAACAAAATATATATATATATATACTCATTTGTTTATAATTGATGAGTTCCTAGTGAGTGTAAGTTGATTTTAACTTTCTGAGGTAACTTCTTACCTCAAAAAATATTAAAAAGATTATAGTTTATATTCTATTTTGGGAGGTAATAAACAGATAACTTTATGGCCATATGATAGGCTTGGTAAATGAAACATGGAATTAAGGTTCTACCAGTAGTTTGACAATGACTAATAAAAGTAGTTTCCAAAGAGGGATGCATCCTAGTAGAACATGTAAATTGGGGTGTAAGGAGAAAATATTAGGACTTTTGAATTATTAAAGTATTTTCTTTTTTGTTGTGAAAATACAGAGAGGTTACAATTAAATGGGCAGGGTAATGAGTACATTTCTTATCAAGCTTGTTGCCTCCTCCTTTGTTTGTTTCCCCTTCCCATCTCTTCCATCCTATCCCCCCCATCTCCAGGCCAAAGTTGTAAGACATAACGACTTAGACATCTCATTGTTGCAATGGGTCCACCTGTATCCCTATTTAAACGATTTGTTTTTTTTTCCTTCCCTCCCACAAATTATACCAACTTCAAATACAATGAAAGCAGGGGTTATACCGTGGGGGAGGGTAAAGTATTTTTATTCTTTAAAATGTCTATATAGGGGCTAGAGTGGTAGAGTGGTAGCGTGCTTGCTTTGCATGCATGAGGCCCTGGGTTCAATTCCTTAGCACCAGAAAAGCAGAAAGAAAAACCAGAAGTAGTTGTGTGGCTCAAGTGGTAGAATGCTGGCCTTGAGCTGAAGAACCAAGGGACAGTGCCCAAGCCCAGAGTTCAGACCCCATGACTGGCCAAAAAAAAAAAAAAAGAAAGAAAAGAAAATGTCTATATATTTTTGTTACTATGTAAGTATATTATGCATATGATTATGTATTACCTATAATAGTATATAGTACATAGTACTCTATATGATTTATAAATAAGTCTACAAGTTTTAGGGATGAATGCACAAATATTTTATGCTGGTAGTATAGGTTATAGTAACACAATTGCCTTAGATTGTTGCTTAGTAAATACTAACTTCCTTTCTCCTTCCACTTCCCTTTCATTCTTGGCTTAGAAGGAAAGAATTGTGTTAATACCTTGATTATTAGCAATGTAAATAAATTGTAGCCAATTGGAGGAGCTCAGCCTGTTTCTTATTTTGATAGCCTTTTCTATTTTGTCTCTTACACATTGCCACATATTTTTAAAACAAACAAGCTTATCAGAATGGATACAGATGAAAAACTGACTTGTTATTTTGTTAGAAGTAATAAGTTGCTCATGCATGAAGCTCTTGACACACAGGAAGCTGGAATAAATGAGTAGAAAAGGTTCCAAGCTATTAAAATGTTCTGGTACTTGATTTATTCATTTGCCATACTCATAAGTCTAAAGTGGGTGAAGCGGCTTTACTTCCTGAGACCTAAAGAAACAATGTGGTTTCCTAAACTATGGCATTAAAGATGGAAATACTTATTTTCTAGCACTGCTAGTAGTCATGATTAAATATTGGTTTTTTGGAGTTATGATTGTTCTATTTTCTTAAAAGTCTCATTTTGTCTATTTTTAACAGGGAAATTTTAATTGCTAAAAGACTGTGTATGACTGGCAAGATTTGTGTCTGTCACACTTTTTGAGATTAATTCAAAGACTCTTCTGCACTTACTATTTGACAACATTTTGAACTCAAACTCATTCTCCAGATTTCTTAGGTATATAACTGTGTGTGTGTGTGCACACGCGCACATACTCTCTAGCACAAGTGCACTCACGCGCAAGTGTGCATACGTGTGCTTGAGCTCAGGTCCTCTTAGCTTTTTCCCTCATTGCTAGTGCCCTACCACTAGAGCTACATCTCTTCTTAAGGCTTTTCACTGGTTAACTGATAAGAGTCTCGGGGGCTTTTCTGCCCAGGCTGGCTTTGAACCCAATCCTCAGCTCTCAACCTCCTGAGCAGCAGGATTACAAGTGTGAGCTACTAGTGCCCATCCTTAGACATATAATTTTCTAAGTTTTCTTTCTCACAAGGAGACAATATACTTTTTGTAATATTGAAATAATTTTGAAGTAACAAGTGTATTTTCTCACCCCTCCTCCATTTGAACTTGTTTCAAACCACATTTGTAACAATATTAATATGATAGTGTTGTAACATTGTAAAATCATGTTAGCAGAGTATTGGATGTCCAAACAACAGCTAACTAATCTGTTTTGAACATTTGAAAATTGAACATTTTAATATTTAATTCAAAATACTGTTTTGTAACTTTGCTTTTAGACCTTACTATAATTTACTTTATAATCTAGTAATAGTTTAGTCAGCATTCCTTTTGAAAAGCAGTAGTCTATTTATAAAAGTGGGAACATTTCTAAAGTTCTTTCTAAAGTTGGAATCAGTTTTATACTTGCTTTATAAAATGTTACAAGCTTATACTTACTTTCCGTATCAATGCTACCTTTTGTTGTTTTAGGTACCTAAATCATGTGAGAGCTGCATCTCCACAGGACCTTGCTGGAGGCTATACTTCTTCTCTTGCTTGTCACAGAGCACTGCAAGATGCATTCAGTGGACTTTTCTGGCAGCCCAGTTAAACTGTATTTCTCCATTTATAAGGTTTGGACCCTGGAGCACAACCAAAGGGCTAGAAAAGCAGACTTGTAGAATTATAGCCATACTCAGCTGCACAACAGTACCACCACGAGCCACTCTGTTAAGGAATTCATACAGAGAAAATTTCATATCTAAACTGAGAAATATAGGGGATTCGTTTCCATGAAAAGCTTTGTTTACTTATATTTTCATGAGAGGGATTGAAGTAAGGAGAGCCTCATATGATGGGAGAGATGAATAAATAATTCACTTATGTATATTTGAGGTTGACAGACTTATAAAATCTTTTTAAAAATAAAGCTAGACTTTAATAGTACATTCTGTGGTTTTTCTCTTATTACAGCGTGTTACTTGAACACATTTTAAAATGCCATTTTGGTTACAACATTTAGTGTTAATATGTAAGTCTGTTATTTCTTCTCATAAGTTTCTCCTTTTTAATTTTTTTCTAATGTCTTCTTGATACTAGTCCAGACAAGTGGATATGTTCCCTTCTCCCAGCAGGCTATGGCAAGTAAAACTTGATCTGTGACAATTTCACTCCCTCAGTATTAGAATGTGGTGCCTGTTTTTTGTAGTGGAAAAGTGAGCAAACCTCACAGGTGTTATGATTCCCAGGTGTGAGCCACTGAGGATAAACCAGAGCACAGCACTAACCTGTTCTAATGACAAACTCAAAGAAGTTAGTTAATAAAATTTAATACTTAAATGGCACCTTTCACCTCCAGTGTGAGTTCATTTTATGATTAGATGTTGGAGACTGAAAAGGTACATTTTAAAACAATTTTTTTTCTATGGGCAATTGTGGACTCTGATGTAGTTTTCTATTGAAACTTGAAAGGCTTTTTATTATACCCAGGGTTTTGCTTCAAGAGTTTGGATGTGGATAGTATGGATATTTGTAGCATCTCAACCTTGTATGAGTCTGTTAGATAGACCACCATATATGGGACATAATTTCTTAAGGAAATTAAAGGATTTCCTATCAAATCCCCATCACAACAGATGTTAGTTTTATGGGTAGAAGGTCATATGAAACAAAACAGTGGTGACATTAGGGTATAAAATCCATATGTAACAACTCCATCTTATTTTACATCTTTTGGTATCACAATACTGTCTTTGATAAGTGAATGAAAAAACCAAGGCATTGAACAGTTGAAAAGGCCAAGATCATATATACAAACTAGTAAGCCAGAATTAGAACACAAGTTTGATTTAAATCCAAATCCAGTTTTAGCTATTCTGTACCAGGGTTAGATATCCTATTCCTTGTAGTAGGTATTCTCCAATTGAAATTTTGTGTTTTAAAGCAGTTTATAAATCTATTCCAAAAATGTTGAGAACAGTAAATTTATATTACATAAAGTTAAGGCTTTGCTGCACTCAAGTGCAAAATAATGATGCATGTGAAGGGAATGAAGTAATAAATGAAACATTTCAAAGGCTTTCCAGACTTTGAATTTACTGGAGAAGTTGTTAACTGACTCTATTAGATCAGTTGAAATAGTGAAAGATGACCTAAGAACAACAAACAACAGCAGTAATCTAAATTGATGGGCTTGTCTCTCACCCTCCTAGTGACTTCCACTCACAGACACAGACTAAGTATCTAAATCTTTATCTCCATAAATCAAGGATAGCATTTTACAGAAATAATAGTTAACAACTCCTTTGTTACCTGTAACTGTTTGTGAAGACTGTGTGCTTCATATTTTTGAGTATTACCTTGTTCTTATCTGTCCCATTTTAACAGATGGAGAAATAGAGGTTAAGGAACATGACAGAAGCCATACAACTTAAAAATAGCAGAGGTGGGATTTGAACCCAAGTAGTGAGGTTCCAGAGTCCATGTTCTAGAGATGACTGTCAAACTTATAAACAACAGATGTGCTAAAACTAGGTCTGGGTAGTCAAACTTCATGAGATTTCTGGGAAAGTTTTATAGATCCAATATCTAGATCTCTTATGGGACATGAATGTTGTCAACTAAATGATCTTGTTGAAATGCTTCTGAATGCATGAGTTTATAATGACTTAGGCCAGGGTTCCTTTTCTGCTTGAGCAGATAGTAAATATTTTAGACTTTACAGTCTGTGGCAAATTGAGGACATTATATAGAAACATATGAAGAGATAAAACCATTTGCCACAAATTTTTGGTGGTTGTTTTGTTTTTGAAACAAGGTCTCAGTATGTAATCCAGGCTGGCCTGGAACTTGTGATCCTCCTGTTTCCCAAGTGCTGGGTTCACAGGCATCAATAACCATTTGGCAAAGTGCAACAGTTTTTAATGGAAAAATTCAAAATATAATCATATGCAATTTTAAGTATAATTTATTTTTGGGAGAATAACTTTTTTTGGGGGGGGGAATTGCACTCCTTCAACTGGAGATGTAGGAAAGTACTTCTATCACTAAAATCAACTGTAAATGATTGCCTGTTAATGGTTCTTTATGACATGTTACATGCTTTAAAACCATCCAGACAGGTATAGCCAAGTACTTCTAATTGAAGATTAGGTGAAGCCCTTTATTAATTATTAATTATTTAAGTAGTTCCAAAAAGGAGTTTTGGTTTATGCATATAGTTTCCCCTCATATCTCCCAACTTCACCCATTCCATCAATTTACTTGGTTTCATTTTCACATAAGTACTTTGAATATCACAACTCTATTCAAATTGGAAGCTCCTTATTTGTAGTTAAGTATTTTGAAATTGAATTTTCTTTGAACTTGCACCAAGATCCTTCTCCCCGAATACTGAATTTAGGAAAAAGCAACTGCCAATTTATATGCAAAATCTTGTTTTTTGATTTCAATTTTTTTTTTTTTTTGGGTCTGGTCGTGGGGCCTGAACTCTGGGCTTGGGTTTTGTCCCTCAGCTCTTCAGCTCAAGGCTAGCGCTCTACCACTTGAGCCACAGCACCACTTCCGGCTTTTTTCTTTTTGCTTAAGTGGTGCTGAGGAATCGAACCCAGGGCCTCATGCATGCAAGGCAAGCGCTCTACCATTGAGCCACCTTCCCAGCCCTTGATTTCATTTTTGATGGCATGTGAAATGTATAAAGTAGTAGGATATTTTTATTTAAATCAGTTGTCTAAATGACACTACCACAATAACGTTGCCTTATAATCTTAGTTGAATACTTTAATGGTTATGGGTGGTTCTTGTTAAGAAAAACTTAAGTCTTAACTCTCAAGCTTAAAAAAAATCACAATCAAACTCTTAACTCAGCAAATAAAACCTTGGCAGGGGAAGTCAGGATATTTAGCTTTAATTTCTGACAAAATTAGATTCAAATATTTCATAGGGTAAACAATATAGTGAATAGCTATAGGCTTTTATAAACTCCTTACATATGCACAAGCTTTTATAAATTTATCCCACTGTCTTTTTCTGCTCTACACAATTTTTTAAAACAAACATTAGTTATAACGTATCTTAGCAAATTCAACTTGAGGTTGTGTGGAACCGGTATTTTTTTCAACTCCTTTAAAAATACTCATAGTTTCCTCTATTCATAGATGCTAATTCTCAGTCACTTCAAGCTTCATGGTAACACCTCAAACAAGAACTGAGCACTATCAGGAAAAAAATCAAGAACCACTCAGAAGTATTAACCTAAATTTTTATTTCTCCAAATGTTCCTAACTCTTTGAGTGACTGTTTTTGTTTCCAAAAGGCCAATCATCATAAACATTTATCTTCTCTGGACCTATTTCTTCAATAAATGCCTTCCCTTGCTTGGCTGAAAAATTAGTCATCTCGAGACTTATTTCTGGTTCTTACTCATTTTCATCCTTTAGTTTATGCAGAAATTCTGCTTTGATATTTTTATTTAAACCTTTGAATTTTTCTGATAGTTGCCTGACCTGAAGTAACTGTAATTAGTGCTTGGTCGTATAACATCATTGTATACTCCATTATTATTACTTTAGCTTATAGATGCTTTATCATTTCACTCAGTGTGGAGAATTCACATCCCACTGTGCTTTCAAAGCATAACTTTTTCAAAGTCCTCTTTCCTTGACATGAGTATGACCTAGTAATAAAAACATAAAATTTGTGACTTGGTTTACATAGCATTTTGCTGAATTGTATTCATGTGACTATATTTTGTAGTGTGCCAGACAGCAGCTGAAGATGAGAGTTGAATCTAGGTCTAATCGGTGTTGCAAGTGCTGTTTTATTATGAGAGCAGCTGTGGAAAATATGAAAGAAGAATAGCAAAGCATATATTCCATATATTCATGTGTACCAAAACTCAAGAATACCAGCTCTAGCCCAATAGGTGGGTTGGTTGACTTTTAAGAATAACACTTTGGGAGTGGGAGGTGGGTAAATAAGAATGAAGCAATGGTGTTAATTCTGTTATGGAAGCACTTGTCATATAGTAGTAACCTGTACAACAGTTAAGAATAGTTGTTATTCCTGAATTTGAAGCTTAGAGAAGTCACACAATGAGCAAATGGTTGATCTTTGGTATCGTGTGTATTTTGTCTTTGGACCTCCCTGAGGAGCAAAGTTTATGATGTCAATCCCTTTAGAATTCTGAAGCCACAAGCTGGCTCAACCTGGTTGGTTTGCCTTTAGGTTACTCCAGGCATCTTCTCTGTAGTTACAGTGATTCTGATGCACATTGAAGTTGAAAATGGCTCCACAAGTTCACTTTATGTTTTCTGATTTCCAGGCCTGATAAGTAGCTTTAATATTTCTCTTGTCATACATCCTTTTTTTCTTTAGTTACCATCAGTTTATTATAAAAGGGAGATATGGAAATTATTTACATGATGAAAGATCTCAGAACTTCATGGAATGGGCAGCTTCACAGGATGCCATTTTAGTGATGTATTCACTTTACATACTTCCCAAAAATGTCACCATCCCTAAATAAGAAATAATCCTTGTCATCTAGAACTACTTTGGTGCCTCCATATTCTGGGAGACGAACTTTATCACCCACTTTCACACTAACTGGCTGAATCTCTCCACCCTTTTTTTAGAGCCCGATCCCACAGCCACTACTGTGGCTTGCAATACTTTTCCTTGAGACTTTTCTGGAAGCATAATGCCTCCTTTGGTTACAGTTTCAGCTGCACTCCTTTCGACCAACACTTGGTCAAACAGAGGAATGAACTTCCTAAATGCTTGTCCGGTCATGACTCTTCGCGGTCGCCACTCGGACTCTTTGTCATACACCTTGATTCTATTTCTTCCTTGATAATTTAAGAATGTCTTGAAATCATGGTATGAGTCTGAAAAGGACTGCTAACTTAACCTTGATTTTGAAAGTGTTATTTTTTTCTATAACTACAATAAATGCTTCTCAAGTTCTAGAACTACAATAAATGCTTCTCAAAAAAGTCCTCAAGTTTCGTAGTTTTCAAGTCATCAAATGTTATTCTTTTCCAATCATTTGAAAATGTAAGAACATTTTCAGATCACAGGCCATATAAACCATTAGTGGCCCAGATTTGCCCTGTAGATCAGTTTGCCTATCCTTGACCTAAATAAGTTTTTTTTTTTTTACAGTGACAACTGGTGGCATAAGGACAGTTGTGTATTAATGCTCTCCTGGTGAGACAACAAGAAACTACCTTATCTTGAAAAACTACCTTCTTAAGAGACAGATAATGTTTAAAAACACTTATCTAATAAAAATTAGATATAATTTAATTAAATGTAATTACACAACCCTGTCTCACAATACAACACAAATGGGTTTCTATTTAGTAGTAGACTTATGGCAGCTAATTGGTAAGATGGGATAATAAAACAAATTCTATGAAACCATACAAATCACATTTCTTCACATAAGTCTACTGGGGAGATGGAGAAAACATTTCCAATTAAGTGTTTTCATGCTATTTGTGTTCCTTCTTCTGAAAAGGCATTATCTGTTCTCTGCCGTTTAGGATGCGGCTCTTCCTGATTCTCTGTAACAAATTGAGAAGGCTACATTAGATAAGATAGTAAATAGTTGAACTCAGTTTTAGGAAACAAATAATGGAAAAATTTTAATCAAATCAACTCAGACAGATGGCAGATTTATCATTTTAATCATGTGCCATACTGAAGCTTGGAGAAACAAGTCTAAATTGAAAAGCAAGTAGTCATGATCCATGTAAATAAGACAGGTAGGTAGATGAGAGTTGAAAAAAAGCTACATTAAAAGTATGGTAATCACATTTAATTCTCTATAAAGAGCTCACCTAGATTTATGGTTTGGTTCTTGTAGAGTATAGATGCAGGAATCTGAAAGGTGATACAGAGCATTTCCTTGTTGGGGGCCACATTTCTTACTAGGTGAACTGAACTGCATGCTTCTAGAGAGATGCCTAACACAGCTCCAGCTTGTCGACGAACATCCTCAGCAGGATTAACATCCTTGGAAAAGCTGTAACAGTGCACTATGGGAAGGAGCTCACTGCTGCACTGCTGCCCATCTAAAAATGACTTGAAAGCACTTAGAAACTCTATAGCCTTTGCAGGCAAGTTCATGACAATGTGGACAGAGTGTTTTCTTTCTTTTGACTGTTTCAGCTGCTGTGCTAACTCTTCTCTGACTGGTCCTTGGAGAAACTCTTTGCCATCCAAGTTGAAGACTTTCACCTTTTGGTCTACTTTATTTAATTTACAATTGTGCAACAGCCACTTATGGGACTCAGGATTGAGATCATTGGCAAATACAGTGCAGTTTTTCTTTGCCGCTGGAATGGCAAAGGGCCCAACTCCTGCAAAAACATCAAATAATATATCCCCAGGTTTGAGAAGTGCTGTGATACGGCTGTGTTCTGTAGAGAGCCGAGGATTCCAGTAGACTTTTGAAAAATCAAATTCATAGGTGTAGCTATTTTCTCGAACCTGAAAAAGATGTTTTGGTTAATCTGGTTGGTCCTAAATTCTAACCACCGGTACTGGCTAAAGTGTGTGTATATACACGAGTGTACACACATGTAAATTTACTCCTATAAGAGCAAATAACAGTGCATTTAAAGGCATTTTAATTAGAATCCTGGTGTTTATGCTATTTCTGGGGCCAGTTAATATCCTGCATTAGACATTTTCATGAGAAAAGTCAGTTCTTCAAAGCCAGTCACTCACTATTTCAATACTAAAGGGCTATAAAGTCATTTCCAAATCACATGAGGCATTTTTCAGAAAGGCCAATTGACTGGCTTAATTATACTCTTATAGCACCAGATGGAGAAGGAAAAAAAACCTATAATTTGAACAATACACTGCACACACTTTCACAATGTGTTGCTAAGTTGTAGATAGTGCTTCTACACAGCAAATTAGTTTCTCTCCATATTTATACTCAGCAAGAGAGGCAGGATAGTTGTTTCATTAAATTTTAAGGTATTTTACTATATTTTTAGATATTACTTTGCAAGTTTCATGTCTATAAATCAAAGCCAGTGTATAGGATAAATCATTCCGATACTTTTGCAAAATTTCAATTTTCATTGGTAAACTAAATAATAAAATGAAGCTAATTCTTGGGTGAGAAAGGAATTAAGACTTTGTAGCATTTCCTTTGGGCCTATCACAGACATGTTAGGAAAATAAAACTCAAATTATAGTAATGGATCATAACCTCAGCCATTGTCTTAAGTCCCTTATTTTGCAGACAGAAAAACACCTGAAGGTTCTTAAATTATATAAATCCAAGAGACATCTATTTTCTGTTTGCTGTACTTTTAAGTCTAATTGTGTACATTTTTTTCTCTCAAACCACATTGAATGTTTTTGCCCATATGAAGGGTTTCAGAGTTGGAAATTTTCAGTTTCAGTTGAAAAATATCTCCCAGTCTCACCTGGTTTGAATACGTGAGAAATATTTTATATGCACTGTTCTACAACTTGTTTTCATCACTTGTCAATGCGCAGTCTATTTTGCAAAATATCTTTAATGAAGTACTAAAAAATCTTTAATGAAGGACTGTTCCATTGTCTCATTAAACCAGGATCTAAACAATTCTGAAAAGACTTCATCTGTATTATCCCACCAATAGTACCTATAAATTGTTCACATTCTTAATATGCACATTCTTAATATTTTTCATCAACTCTGATTATAAGCATTGATTTTCTTGCATTCACCTTACTAGGAGGTAATAAAATACTCTGTACCTTGGTCATCATGTTCTCTTCTCCAGATAGCACTTCCATTTGGAAATTTCGGTATGTATTATCAATATTATTGATTTTATTTACTGCTGAGGTGATTCCTGGATTTTTGTCAATCATAACTTGGCCTACAAGATAAAAATTCATAATAATTACTGCCTTCTGGTTGCAAAATAACTAATACTGAAAATATCAAACAAATGAATTGTATTTTTTTTTTGCAGCTGTACTGAGTGCATGTAAAAATCCAAAAATTCTAAAAAGCCAAAAGATATGTTAATATCTGACACTTTCCTGCAATACATGTAAAAATTTTGGTATATTTTTAAAGAAAACAATTTGAGGTGTTTGGCCTACTATTATTTTCCACATTTTTAGGGACTCTCAAATGTACCTATACAGCAAGCAACAAGGTAAAAAATGAAATGAAGAGGGAGATGTGGAGACCCTGGCAACAAATGGTCTCAGAAACATCTACCTCTCTACTGGCCTCTCAGCCTCCCATCAAATGTTTGTCTTACTGCGGGTTTGAAACAAATGCCTCCACTTTGGGAATGTATGTCAGCAAAGCAGTTTTTCAATGAAGAAATACAAGAGTATTTAGAGTCTTGTTTAAATAAAATGTTGACATAAATTGTTCCTTTTGTCAAATATTCATCATTAACAGAAAGCTACAATTAATAAAGTACATCAGAAATGGCATATTGATACCCTTCAACCAAAAAAATGTAGGGTTTTTTTTGTCAGCACATCAAAAATTTATAAAAATCTATTTGCTATCTCATTTCATAAGGAAAGATGATTTGTAAAGTTGAAAGTACACAATAATCCAAATATGCTGAAACACATATTTGTCTAAGTTTTCTCTGATAATTAGATATGAATATGATAAGATCAATAACCTAATCAGTCATTGCTCTTATCCTGCTTTGAATCAGGTATGAAATTGTTTTTACTTAAAATTTTTACTTAAAAATTAAAAAAAAGCAATTATGAAATTCTATAGTTAAGGCTTTAAAATTACTATGGAGTTTTTTAACCTCTGTGCCTTTATGAATGAGGTTAAAAAATAGGAATGCCAAAGAAACATTTAAGGTAAAGAAAGACTACAAGAAGGTATGCATCTGACACTTTTAGTCTCAGTAAGTATTATGTCGCCATTACACATTAGCAGCTCTTTTCATCAGTAAAAACAAAGGGAATACTTTAACAGCACACTTAAAGTCCTATCCATGCAAAATACTGAGTACTATATTTTCGAATTCCTCGAATTATTTTCAGATAATTACATGTTGATTAGTCTTCTACTTCTTTCTTACCCAAAGAAGTAGAGGCCTCAGGTTGTTAAGTCTGGAACTACAGAGGTAGGACATTAACAACACTGTTTCTAAAAGCCTATGGACACTAAAAAAAAAAAGCCTGCAATATATACAAGAGGCTTGAGAGTGAAAATGTAATTAAATAGCATTGTATTTTTTTTTTACTATAAACATCCTTACTTATGAAACCTAATATTGAACATAGTTCCAAAGGCCTAATCTTGTATATCAAAAAGAATTTGCTGGGCTGGGAAGGTGGCTCAGTGGTAGAGCGCTTGCCTTGCATGCATGAGCCCTGGGTTCGATTCCTCAGCATCACGTAAGCAAAAAGAAAAAAGCTGGAAGTGGCTCAAGTGGTAGAGCGCTAGCCTTGAGCTGAAGAGCTGAGGGACAGCGCCCAGGCCCAGAGTTCAAGCCCCACCACTGGACCCCCCCCCAAAAAAAAAAAAGAATTTGCTCATTATAAATTTTTTTTTTAAAGGACATAACTTGGACCAAAGCTGATTCTGGAGTGTTCCCAAAATGGCCCTCAAATGAGGATATGTACTTCAAGATTCAGCTTCTGTAACCTGGCAATTAAACATTGAGATTGGAATTTGTCAAAAGCTTTTTAGTACATGAAAATTATTATATTTACCTACCGATTAAATGCTTGAATGGTAGCTGATGATCTCGAAGATTCAAGTGCGCAATATGTCCAACTCTGCTAAATCCTGAGGTCACATCTTGACCTTCAGGAAGCACAGCCCTCAAGATTTCTTCTGACTTAAAGTTTTCATAAGTTAATTCCAAAGTATATTTAGATAGCTGTGGATTGACATTAAGTTGGTTTAAAATACTAAGTTCTGATTCCTCAAAGGACTCATGAGTAAACATTTTATAGGGATCCAACATAATAAGCCTACTTTGTTCGTCTTCTGGATCTTCAATCACACGCTTTATGCCGGGGCGTTGCAGCACTGCGCTTTTCAGGGATCGCATCAATCTGTTGACTATTTCTTTCCTCGCTTTAAGCACTGGAATGGTGACTGTTTTTTTAAAGGCTGTTCTATCAAGTTTTGTCATTCCTCTGACACCAGAGGGGGGTGAAAATAATTCAGTCTCTCTTGTATTTGTTTCTATCTCTGGCATGGTTGAGAATCCTTTTCTTTGACTTAACAAGAAAATACCAGGCACTTCCCTAATCTTCTGTGCCAGTGTTGTTGGTGAGAGTAGAATTAAAGATTCTGCCCCAGTTGGATTACAGCTTTCCACTTTTAGAAGTCTTCTTAAGAACCCAAATGGCCTACATAAGATGCTTAAAAAACAAGCAAAAGAGCATTTGTTTAAAAAATAAGCTACAAATGAGCAGGATCACAAGGAAAAATTAAAAGCCGAGTAGCTCCAGATCTCTTGTTATAGTTGATAAATAGAACTTTTAATGGTATGGAAGAATACTTATCTTCCAGGATGTCTTATTAGAAGTAGATAACAGATATGTGCTTTTATCCTACCTGCTGCTTGAACACTGAGGCTAGTAATGAACTGTCTGCCCACAAATTACTACAGAATGCATTTGGGATTGGAAAATGGTTGAGTTAAAGGGTCATTTCTAAATGAAACGTTATTATATGTACGGAATTACCAGTGGCAACGTTGCTAGGATTCTTCTGGGTGCTTATTGTATCATCTTGGGAGGTGTGTAGTATTGTGCCCTTGTGTTGTGAATGAGCTTTGTAAACAGAGCTCAGAAGTAGGTTAACTCACCCAAGGGTCTAAAACTCGGGTTGATCTCAGTACTTCTGTTTTTTGGTGCAGCATATTGGTAGGTGGTTTGTGCTTCCCAACTGAGGAGAGTAACTCAGCTGGCGTTTGGAATACATGACCGACGATTTGGTCTCTCCCCTAAAACACTGAAGTAATTGTAAAGGGCACACCCACAGAATCCTATGAGACTCAGTCACCCTTCGTTCTGAAGGTTCAAATGGCATCGAGCGTGCAAGTCAGCCGGGTGGCTCCCGGGTCCTCCGAGTCTCCGTGGCCCTTTGTACCACGCAGCGAATGGCTGGCTCTGCCTGCCCCCCCCTCCCGGGGTGCTGGGCGCGGAATCCCAGCACGCTGGGGGAGCGTTCCATCGCTGGACCGCACTCCAGCCCTCGAGAGTGTGGAAGCCGAGTCCTCAGTACCCGGCCCCGAGACCCAACTAAGCTCAGCACCCCGGCGGGAGGTGCCTCGTGGCATTCCCGCGCCCAGGCGGCGTGGGGCGGAGGAGCCCGGAGAGGGCCTGGCACCGCCCCTGGGCGCTGTGAAGAACACTGCGACCGCGCCTTTCTAGCCCACCTCGCCTCCAAGCTGCTGCGGTGACCAGACCCCTCACCTCATGCTCCGCGCCCGACGTGGAACCGGGTTTCAGGCGGGTGGGTAGGGCCTCGATGACGCCATCGCTGTTCGCCCGCGGAAAGGGGCGCGCGTCATCAGATCGCGCTGACGCCGTCCTTAAACCCGGAAGGGTCGGGCCCGTAACTCCGCCTCTGGTGCGATTGACCTCGGGGGCGTCGGACAGAGTCCAGGTTCGCGGATGGACCTGGTGGTCGGCGAAGGAGCTACATGGAGGCGTCGTGGGGAAGCACCAGTGCGGAGCCGGGGTGGTACATCTCTGCCCAGCTACCTGAAGAGGCGGCGTCGGAAGAGTTGAGCCCGTTGCTAGGCAACGTAAGTGGGCTCCGCGGCGCGCGGGCGCCCAACTCCCCCAGCTCCCACTCCGGGGCCTGCGGAAGGAGCCCGGGGCCGCAGGAACCCGGCACGGGGACGGGGGAGAAACCGGAGCCTGGCCCCCGGCGTGGGGCCCCAAGCCCGCCGCCGGCCCTCCGGGGCGGCCCGCCTCATTGGGACCGTGACAGCAGCCCCACGCCCCCGGCGGGAGAGGCGCCCGCGGGACCCTCGGCGGCGCAGCCCCTCCAGGGTTTAGTGACTCAACACTTCCCTAGTAGCGTGGTCACCCTCCAGTTCCCTTCACACGTCGTGAACGGTCTTTGCAAGATGTTTCTTTTCTCGACTTAGTAACGGGAGGTGGGTTATTTACATCTTAGTACCGAGATCCCTAGAGGTAAAAGAGGTAATGAGCACCAAGTACACCCCGGAGCCGAAGCCCTGGCTGGGGCCCCTTCGCTTCCCCTCCCCTCCCCCCCCCCCCCCCCGCACCCATGCTGGAGATAGAGCTCCAGGCTTTCAGGACTTCGCACTGCTAAGGCAGGGCTCTACCACTGAGCGACACCCCCCCCCCCCCCCTTGTCCCGGCACTCCACTTTATAACTGGAATTTTAACAGCTGATGGGTTTGCCTTCACGTGCTATTTTGGGAGAGGGAGGTTTTCAGAGATAAACTTGTCAGAGCAATATCTATATCTATATTTATTGTCACTGAGAGGTCTTCCTGACCATCTTTTCAGTTAAGCAGACTGAAATTCATTAAGTATATAAATAAAGATTCGTTTTTTGGTGTTTGTAATTGAGGAAGAACAGCTGTGGACACTAACACGCTGACTCAGGGATTATTCAGGAATCACATGAACCGAGGCCTGTCCTTTTTTTTTCTCATTCCCAGCTCAATTCCTAGTTTATCTTCACTTCGTAAAGTCACAAGATTAGGTCAGGGCTTTTCCTGCAGTCTACAGGGTAGCTGTACTGATAGATACGATTTTTATGGAAAACTTGCTTCCTGGATCTGCCCTAATAAGAGGTAGAAAGAAAAGGGAAGAAAATCAGCTCTGGTTAGGCATCTAGCGTGTAACACAAAGCCTGGTGGTTTGCAAAGATAAGACATACTCTTTCAGTAATTTCGTGATAAATTTGTTCTTCACTACTCAAATACCTAATACTATTAAATTTAAATTTAAAATTTAAATTCTAGGAACTTCGCAGACAGGGATCCCCAGGAGTTTCATTTGGCTTCTCAGTCTTTAATTTGATGAATGCCATCATGGGAACTGGCATTCTTGGCTTAGCTTATGTGATGGCAAATACTGGTATCCTTGGATTTAGGTGAGTGTTTTTTTTTTTTAAACCTCATTTTGCTGCCTCCCCCCCCCCCCCCATTTTGGTTATATATTGAGAAATTAAAAGATCAGTTCCAGGAGCTATTATATTGTATTTTTAATTAAGTTTTGAGGTTTTGCTACTACTTTTGCTACTTTGTAGGTTATATACAGGTGTGTACCCCTTAATAAAGAGTATATGTTCTGAGAAATCTTTTAGGCAAGTTCACTGTTATGCAAACATTATATAGTATACTTAAAATTAGACATATAACCTGTTGAACAGCTAGGCTGTGTGGGTCAGCCTGTTGCGCCTAGGCTACTGTTACTGCACTGGCACTGTAGGCAATTGTAATACAATGGTATTTGTATATCAAAACATTTACATAAAGAAAAGATAGATATAGTGAAATTATGGTATAAAAATGTAATATGCCTTTGGACACTTACCCAGAATGAAGCTTGCTTATGCACAGGATTGGAAGTTGCTCTGAGTGAGGCAGTGAGTGATGAATGAATTGGAAGGCCAAGGACGTTACTGTGCACCATTATACACTTCATTAACACTGTACAGTGAGGCTACATAACACTACATTTGTAAGAAACTGCTTTCTCTCTTCAATAATAAATTACCCCTAGCTTAATATAACCTTTTCACTTTGTAAAGTTGTAAGTTTTTGAAAATTTTTGTTATAATGCTTAGCTTAAAAAATATTGCACAAATAAAATTTTCTTTATACCCTTGTTTGCTAAGCTTTTTCTAGTAAAAGTTTATTTTCATACTTTGGTTTTAAAGCTTTGTCAAAAACTAAGTCACAAATGCATTTTATCCTAGGCCCATACAGGGTAAAGATCACACACTGTATTCCACTTCCACATGTTGTTCTATTGGAAGTCTCCAGGAACAATAATGTGTGAAACACTATGAGCACGGTGATTTCTCTGGAACACCTCTTCAAGGACTTGTGTGGGAATGCTAAGCATTTAACAGGTTTCTCATAAGTATAATAACAAAAATATAGTAAGTACATAAAGCACACAGTCATTTACTGTGCTTGTCAGTTATGTGTATTTCAATTATGTGTACTACACAATTACTTATTATTAGTACAATTATATGTACTACCATAATTGTATACACTTGCGACTAGCAGCACAGTAAGTTTGTTTACATCAGCATCACCAACATAAGAGTAATGATGTTAGTACAGCTATTATATCTCAGTGATAACAATTTACAAGATCTGTTGGGAATTGTTTTATTTAAAATTCATTGACCAAAACATTGATATGCAATGCATAATTATAGTTTTATTTAATCTAAAATTGTGGTGATTTATTTATTTATTTTGTCAGTCCTGGGGCCTGAGCACTGTGCCTGGGCACTCCCTCAGCTTTTCAGCTCAAGGATAGTGCTCTACCACTTGAGCCACAGCACCACTTCTGGCTTTTTCTGCTTATGTGGTGCTGAGGAATTGAACCCAGGGCCTCACACATGCAAGGCAAGCATTCTACCACTGAGCCATCTTCCCAGGCCCACTGTGGTGAATTTTTAAAAACAGAATTTGTTGTTTTAGAACTTTGAGAGGGGGCTTATTGAGCTTATTCATGTCTGTCAAATTGGCCAAAATGAATAAAAATTTGTCAGCCATGCTATTTCCTTATGAGTAGCTATTTTTTTTTTAGTGCAAATAAAGCACATAATCTTTTTATTCTTCATTTCCTCTTAAGTGGTCTTTTTGAGGCCAGGCTTATTATCTATACCTTGCTGTTCTTTCAAGAATTGGATCATGGGGGGCTGGGAAGGTGGCTAAGTGGTAGAGTGCTTGCCTTGCATGCCTGAGGCCCTGAGTTCAATTCCTCAGCACCACATAAGCAAAAAGAAAAAAGCCAGAAGTGGCGCTGTGGCTCAAGTGGTAGAGCACTAGCCTTGAACTGAAGAGCTGAGGGACAGCGCCCAGGCCCAGAGTTCAGGCCCCATGACCGGACCCAAAAACAAAATTAAAAAAAAAAAAAAAGAATTGGCTCATGGGCCAGTTAGTCCAAAAATAAAGACTGTCCTGGTTTTTCTGTCGTCCCATAGGTAAATTCTGTATATTCATTGTCATTGCAATTTGTTATAATGACTTATTTGGCAGTTAACTTCCCTATTAAAATTATATTCCTTATGCTTAGCATGTAGCATAGCACTATGTTGAAGAGAATGAACAAAGTCCATTCTTGTCAGTAAAATCAGATTTATTTTACTATAAAATTTAAAATGAAGAGTCAGGTTTTAAAAAAAATTTCTGGGTAAACAAAGCAAGTTTCAAGTAACTTAACTTGATTTTAAAATGGGATATATTCACAACAATATGTAATGCCTTAGGCAAGTCATAATCAGAGGACCTAGTTTCTGTTTTGTTTTTTTTTTTTGAAAAATGTCATGTTTCATGTATGGATCATGTTTTATTTACTAGGGTCTTACATGAAATTATATACCTTTGAATGTGGATCCAATGAATCAAATCAAATTTCTTTTGGTGATGCTAAACCTTTACTGTGTAAGGTCTCTGATGTCCATTTAATAGCTGCTTGCTACTTGCTATACTTACTCTAAAAGTATTAAGTGGATACAAAGGTAGAATTTTTTTCATGTTGGGCAGTCTACTGGGGGCAGCTATGTAGCTAGAAGCTTGTACTGCCAGTATCTTCCTGAGAGCAAGTAGGACAGTATGAATGTTGCTTCTTTTCATCATGTAGATGAGAGGATCCCAGTCATTACATTGCAGTGTTTTCAGATTGTGTCATTAGAAGTGTGTTAGTTTCCTTGTTTTGTTTGGTGTAGAAAGTGTTTAGCAGATGCTAGGAAATACAATTAGTGATGGGTGAAGATAAGGTTAAAAAAAAAATAATGCCCAGCCGGGCACTGTTGGCTCAGGAGGCTAAGATTCAAAGGTTTGAGGTTCAAAGCCAGCCTGGGCAGAAAGTTTGTGAAATTCTTATTTATTTGCCAGTCCTGGGGCTTGAACTCAGGGCCTGAGCACTGTCCCTGGGCTTCTTTTGCTCAAGGCTAGCACTCTACTACTTGAGCCACAGTTCCACTTTCGGTATTTCCTCTTTATGTGGTGCTAAGGAATTGAAAACAGGGCTTCATGCATGCTAGGCAAGCATTCTACTATAGGTCACATTCCCAGCCCATAGTCTGTGAGATTCTTATCTCCAATACTATACTCAGAAAAATCTACAAGTGGCACTGTGGCTCAAAGTGGTAGAGCACTAGCCTTGAGCAAGAGCTCAGGGACAGTGACCAGGCCCTGAGTTCAAGCCCCTGACACACACAAAAAGGTCCACATCAATGGAATAGAAGTGAAGGTGAGAAAAAAAAAAACCCAAAGAGGATAGTGGTATTTCATGACTAAACTTCTGTTTAGA